CTGTTTTACTTTGTTTTCAATTCTCGACTCTGATGTAAACTCACAGAGATCTGATGAATACTCACGCAAATGCATCGAAACTTCGTTCCCCACCATTCTATTTAGCAGGTTGCTCATTAAAGAAACCCCAAGTGGCACATTATGTCTTTTAAACACGAATATATCACTTGATTTGTGCATATACATGAATAAACACTTTTTAAAATGATATCATGAAATACATTAATAAAGATTTTTGTCTTCAGATTTGGATAAAACGAATTCTTTATTTACAGGCTTTTGTCTTCCTTTTATCGGATTTCTATCCGTTGTAGTGTTTTATTTTTTATAAATATATTTATAGATTACGTTTCTTATTCAGCTCAGCATACTTGATGTACGAAGACAACAACCTGATAGTCCTTGATGAACTTCTACAGAACTACGACAGAAGAGTAACACCAACTCATCACATCAGTAATTATCATTTCTTTAATTTTTACGTAAAAATGTGACATTAATGAACGTTATCCCAGTACATTAATGTACGTTATACTAGTACTTTTATGAACGTTATCCTAGTACATAAATGAACGTTAGCCTAGTTCAATAATGAACGTTATTGTAGTGCATTATTGAACGTTATCCCAGTACGTTTATTAACGTTATCCTAGTACATTAGTTAACGTTATCATAGTACATTAGTTAACGTTATCATAGTACATTTATTAACGTTATACTAGTACATTAATGACCATTATCCTAGTACGTTAATGAACGTTATCCTAGTACATTAATGAACGTTATCCTTCTACGTTGATGAACTTTATCCTAGTACATTAGTTAACGTTATCATAGTACATTAGTTAACGTTATCATAGTACATTTATTAACGTTATACTAGTACATTAATGACCATTATCCTAGTACGTTAATGAACGTTATCCTAGTACATTAATGAACGTTATCCTTCTACGTTGATGAACTTTATTCTAGTGCATTTATTAACATTTTCCTAGTATATTAATAAATGTTATCCCAGTACAATTATGAACGACATTCTAGTACATTAACGAACGTTATCCTAATACATTTACGTACGTTATGCTAGTACATCTATGATCGTTATCATATTAATGAAGGATATTCTAGTACTTTTAAGAATGTTATCCTAGTACATTAACAAACGTTATTCTAGTTCATCAATAAACGTTATTCTATTGCATTATGAACGTTCTCCTAGTACATTAATGAACGTTATTCTATTGCATTATGAACGTTATCCTAGTACACTAATGAACGTTATTCTATTGCATTATGAACGTTATCCTAGTACATTAATGAACGTTATTCTATTGCATTATGAACGTTATTCTAGTACACTAATGAACGTTATTCTATTGCATTATGAAAGTTATCCTAGTACATTATGAACGTTATCCTAGTACATTAATGAACGTTATGTGTTTTAAACACATGAAACTAATAACGATGTTCATTTCCTCAATGTTTGAAATAGTTTTCCTCAGTGGAACTGTGGCATTTACAAACTTAAGAAACTACCCGTTTTCTTTGAACGTATCACTACTTTAATATTTGAGATGTTATTATTTTTACAATTTGAAGTTCGTATATTCATCATGGAGAATATGATAACGTCTAATGATAGTTTCACGTGTGTCTGTACTGAGATATTTTGTTCCAAAACATCGTAATTTGACAGAACACGCTTTTTTTTAGCTTCTTAAATTTAAGAGCCAGTTGACTCATTTCAGTGTTAAGCAAGTACTCGTACCAATACTAGTCCTAGTAGGCTTGAGACCCCAAATAGTCAGGTAATCAGATCATACAGTCCACTAACAGGTTGTTCCCTAGTGGGCCTTAGGTGAATTATCCTCTCTATTGTGTTTTTAAAGTTAAAGCTCATTTCAAGTACCACATTTTAAGGAATTAAATATCGTCATTTCTTTTGCACTTTTGCAAGAGTTAAATATATTGAATAAACTGTCATTCGAAGTTCTATTTTAACTCAATAGCACCGAAAATTACTAATCTTACTTCTGTTTAAGACATACACTGGCAGGTAGTTACTAAGAGCATAAACCTCAAACTCCTCACCCGATTAATCAATTTTTAAATGATTTCTACTAGAAGTATAATATTATGTTAAATGGCATTCAAATTAATTTGAACTATTTTGGAGATTTAAAATAATAATAATAATAATAATAAACACGAATCATGTTTGACTGAATTTTCTAGGTCTACCAACTACCGTCAAATGTGAACTTTATTTGAGAAGTATCGGGGCAATTAATCCTGCTACAATGGTAAGTTAATGGTAACTTTCAGGTAAATAAAAACGATAATCAGTGAATACCTGTGATTAGTGGCAGTATTACGTCATTATTGATTGAACTGTTCTTTAACTTTCATGAAAATGTATATAATATCACAACCAATGATTATTTAAAAATAATACCGAAATTAGTTTTGTTTTATGAGAAACGTCATAAACTCTTCTAGAAGTGATTAGGAAGCATTACTTTAAATCAAAATTCTCAAATTGTGAGAAAGAAAATACGAATATAAATCAATTAAGCATTATTCATAAATGTCTGTTTGACCGTTGAGTGACCATTGTGTGACAACACGGCAACTTCTTCAAATTGTAAATTCATATAATTATAAATTTATGATCAGGTTAGTTTAATTAACAAGCGTTTTGAACCATTTCTTAAGCCTCTCACCATCGAATGATTCATTCATGGATTTTAATAATTAGGCTTAAGAATCATCCCACTTATCCAAAATGAGATGTATATTTCTGATAGGGAAATAACTAAAGTAAAATTAACTTCATCAAAATCGATTGTATCGTCATAGTAATTATATTCTTAACCGCCAGACAACCGTATTTGCGAATGATCTAATCCTTAATTGATATAGGTTTAAGCTAATTCTAAATGAAACTTCTAACATTTGACTAGATTATCAAATGTATGTTATTAGGTAGCTGACAGACATTATTATGCTCTTAAGTGATCAACATACAAGAGTTAAGAACGAATTATTTGAGCTTTCACAACCGGCTCAGTGTATAGTACATATTTGTTTACTATACCGCCGAAAACAGTATAATCAAGGTAATGTGGAACATTTGCAGGGAAAGTATGAATTTAATTCGTAGATTTGGTACAGTTAGTGTACTTATGTTCGAACACGTGTATAAGAAAAATTAGAGTGACTATTTTTTTGTTCTTTACTGTTAGACACAACTTTACACAATGGGCTATCTGTGCTTTGCCCATTGTGGGTATCGAAACCCGATTTTTAGTGTTATAGCCCTCGGACTTACCGCTTACCACAATTAGTTTGTCGTACCAAAGAAAACTTTGATTTTTAAAGTAGCAGTAAAAATAAAGAAGGCTTAAGAAATAGCCCTATATGTTTCTTAAGCATTACGGGGCTGCAAGGCCTAGTGGCTGGCGTGTTAAGCTTCTGATTGGAAAGTCTAAGGTTCGAGCTACGATATTCTTCTGTAAATGCTTCATACTTTCAGCTTTGGGCACATTTAAATTGTTACAGTAAATCCTGATATTTAATTTAAAATAACCATATAGGCGGCTAGTGCTGCTGACTGATTGCTTTATCTCTGATCAGGAATTCTTGATTACGTGGCCCGGCACGGCAAGGTGGTTAGGGCGCTTGACTCGCAATCTGAGGGTAGCGGGTTCGAATCCACGTCCCACCAAACATGCTCACCCTTTCAGCTGTGGGAGCGTTATAATGTGACAGTCAATGAGTAGCCCAAGAGTTGGCGTTGGGTGGTGATGCCTTTCCTTTAGTCTTTCACTGCTAAATTACGAACGGCTAGCGCAGATAGCCCTCGTGTGGTTTTGCACGAAATTAAAAAAAAAACTAAACTTAATTAGGAATGGCCATGCACAAAACCCAAAGTCTCTGACCTTGACCTTTATTCCTTGAATCGCATAATATATGGTACAGATTGAAAATACCAAAAATTCTTAAGAATTATGACGTTTCACTACTTCATTAATTACACTAATTAACCTCGCTTTCATCTTAGGTTTAGCTATTCAGTTTTGCATAATCTCAATGTATGTTATTTGCTTTGAAGATTTACCATGTTGTTCATAACATGGTTACTTGTTATGAGAACCATTTAAAAAATCAAAATATATAAGTAAAGTTATTTAAAAAGTAGTTCTTTCTGGATTAATATTATTTTTGATTTATTCATTTGTGATATAAACATTCATAAATTTTACAATCATAAAAGCTTTATAGTTTTCTGTTTAAAAAAGAGAAGAATTAATCTTGTATCCAGTAAATAATAGTTACTCGTAGAAAACGAAAAGAATTGGTTATGTAACACATAGATATACGACAAAACAATAAAAAATAACAATTTCCTAATCGTATAAATAAGCTATTCTATTCCTCAACCACAATGCTCACATTCAAACATTTTTTAAAGTTATACCTTTCAGAAAAAACAACAATTACTTTTACACAGAAACTATAAATAAGTAAATAGACGTCTAAGTTGAAAAGAATACCTTACATAGCATTGGTAAACTATGACTCTGGTTAAGACTTTGTGTTGCAGTCCTTTGCCTTATGCACTATGCAGGATAGCAACGCACTTTCACGTTGTACGGATGACAAACTTAACCAGTCTTGGCCTGTGGGATTGCATTGTTCTTGACATAGAATGTACATTAGGGAATCTCAAGAAGTGGATTCACTGGGTTGCTTTTGCAGGGATCGTTTGAGAATAATCCATACGTGCTTAATGAGGATCATATCCAGTAACTGGCAGAGTTGTGATGCCCTGACTGTGCTCAAAAGTTTAGGATATCAAGATGATACTCTGTTCACAAACGTAAAATATCATTATATTACACTGCTCATAAACATAGGATGAAGTAATGACACTTTATCCATAAACGTAAACAAATCATTATGTCACTCTGCTCATAAGCCTAGGATGTCATGATGATGATGATACTCTGTTCATAAACGTAAACAAATCATTATGTCACTCTGCTTATAAGCCTAGGATGTCATGATGATACTCCGTTCATAAACGTAAACAAATCATTATGTCACTCTGTTCATAAACGTAAAATGTCATTATGTCACTTTGCTCCTAAGCCTTAGACCCCATGAAGATACTCTGTTCATAAACGTAAAAAATATTATTATGTCACTCTGCTTATAAACCCAACAAATTATGATGGCTCTCTTTTCATTACGAAATTTTATAGACTTTTGTTTTGTTTCTGAAGACCATTTTACCAGATGACTTTATAAGTTATTTTCAATTTATTATTCATGAAACTTGAAAGAAACTTACATCGACTTCAATCAAAATATCGTTGTTTAAAACTTATATTGAGGACAACCTAAACAGGGTAAGAAATATTATTGTTCTCCAGCCAAAGCTATTCAATGCTAAATGCATAAAAAATATAACATTTTTGTACTACCATTTTAAATTTTCTGTTTATATCACAGTAAAATATATTTTTGTCTTGCAGTCAAAGCGACTTAATGATATATATATACAAACAATATAACAGTTTTATAAGATCATTTGAAATTTTCTGTTGACGTAGTATTTCAGAAAGTAAAGCTGATTATATATCCAGAACTCACGAAGCTCAAAAATATTGATCGCTGCTAACTATTGAGTGTTTCACAAAATTCTTAACAATGCTTTGTGTAGCTACCAGTTTGGCCGCCAATTTTGATTTCATTCCTTTAAGCCGCACACTCAATCCTTTTTTGGCCGCACCTTTTTTCACACCTAAAATGTTTTTGATTATATATATATATATATACATGCAATTTAAAAAAATATTTTTCAGGATTACGAGGTAGACCTGTATCTTCGCCAGACGTGGCACGATGAACGCTTGCGCAGTAACAACTTAACTCGTCCGCTGGACCTGAATGACCCAGTTCTGGTCAAGAGGTTGTGGAGACCAGATATTTACTTCCCCAATGCTAAGCATGGAGAATTCCAATACGTCACTGTGCCTAATGTACTATTGAGAATTAACCCTAACGGAGATATTCTTTATATGCTTAGGTTGGTAAATCAGCTATTCTGATCTTTAATTACAAAAAAATAAAAAATACAGTGAATCAAAGTTCCAGTTATTCAGTTTATTGGAGATTCAATTGACCTTCATGAAGAAAGAAATTTGATGAACTTTATTAAAGTACATCTCTATAGTAAACTCATCCAGACTTTTTTTTTTTGAAACTACATTTTGGACTTAACGTTTTACCCTAATAGTTAGATGTAATTGTGAGTTATTTGTGTACGTACTTTTCCATTTGTTTATTGAATGTGTTTAATGTAAAGATATATACTAACAGAGCAAAATGTTATCTTCCTGGTTTATCGGTTCAAAATTAGGGACGGCTAGCATACATAGCCATTGTATATCTTCGGACAATTATCAGAAACAAATAAACATGCTCGGTTAGTTTCATCATTTTAACAGAATACACGAACACATGTGTCAACAATAGTACATTTTTCGTGAGTTATTTAGTCATACCTTAAGTATATAACATTATCTTCATTTTTTTT